TCCCTCAGATTAAAAATACAATTACATGTTAACATTTTTCTCATTTGGCATATTTGCAAAAGTCATCCTGTTTCTTGATTTTTTTAAAGGAAATCCAATAAGTAGAGCTTTGCTAGAAATGGCATCATAAAAATACACAACACTCTAAAATATCTCAGTGAGCAACAGCACATCAGAGTGATCCATTAGCAACAAAAAACATTGCAACAACTTTTTAGCTCCAATATGCCACACTATATGTAAATCTAGTATTATATACAGTACACTAGCATCTTCATTAACTTTTAGTATATTTGAGTTTACCAGAAAATACTCATGACAACTTTCTTTTATGAAGTATCAATGATTATAGGAGATAAAATTGAAAAGTTGAAGCGAGCAATAGTAAATTACAGCTCATTTTGGTCTACAAATACGACAGTGCCATTCACTGACTGACTACTAACATAGCTTTGTAACTTATTGTGCCAACACTCATTCTGCAGTACAATATGCTAGGTAAAAAAGGGGTATATGAGTATATTCAGAGGTGGGGAAGTGGAGACTGGTTTCTTGCCTCTGCTTGCAGGCGCAGCTTACTGGTGCTGCCACTCCCAATCAAGGCAACACTTTTCCTGCAATTTCACTGCCTTGTCACCCAGCCTTTAGAGAATTCAGTGGACAGTGGCACAAGGAAGGAAGGAAGGAAGGAAGGAAGTGTTACATACAGCACTGATGTGGAAGGAAGGAAGGAAGGAAGGAAGGAGAGTGGATGACATTGCCCCCTCTCAGCAATAAGTAAAGAGGTGAGACACAAGAGGTGAGATTCAAAAAGCCATAACCATATTATTCATTTAGCTCCCCTAACCTTGGGACCAGAAGCAGGTGAACCATCTAGATCCCTCTCTTGCCCAGATTGGGCATGTTCCTGATCCCAGGGCCATGCTGTACATTACCAACCATGCCCTAGTCAGCTCTTTTAGGGATATATTGTTGGATCTGTTTTCAGTTCAGGTCCCATGGTACAAGGCTGATTGTAGCCTGAAGCTGCTTCACAGGGCCATCCCTATCAATAACATTGAATCCCATGATTTGTGGTATTCAAACAGGAGACCCAATCATCCAATGGCACCCAAAGAGGCTTGCTGCTAACACCCCTCCCCCACCTTCCCCACAAGAGCTTAGCTCCCTATCACCCCCATGTTGTCAAATAGAGCCAAAAGGCCCCTCTGCAGGTCATCTAGTAAAATGTCTGCCCCTGTATCTGTCATGTATATCCCTTCTCCCCAGAACAATTCAGGGTGATCATAACTAATATCTGAGCGGTACAAACAAAACCATCTGTTCTTCATGTCCCAGGCTGTCAGCTCCTTATTTATGCCTCTCCTCGCCTGATCCAAGCAACAAGCATCTCCTTCTCCTCTTCAAATTCTCCTGGCCAAACTATGATCACACCCATCCAATGATGTTGGATCTTGTGGAGGTCCATAACTGCCCTTAAAATGGGTTCTTTATCTTTCAGTAGCCCTATACGATTTCCCCCTAAGGGAACTACCAAAACATGTGAGGCAAACAAAGCATGCACCCCAAAATGGCTGGTAACAGGCCATCCCAAAGCATGCCCTTTCTCCAAGTTATGCTTTGATTTACGGCTAATATACAGAAACTTCAGTTGGACTTACTGAGGCTCCCCAGGTTCACATCTGAAACACGGGGGGGGGGAAGAACCTGGGGTAAAAATGTAGAGCTTTGACTTAAGATTACTAGCACCTGGTGTTACTAGTAGGAAAAGCCACCTACGCATAGTGCCTCTGGGAGAAGCTTGAAAGAGGTGGAACACTGAGCAAATGGCAAAACCTCATAACAGAAGCAGATTATTACTTTCTCTTTGATTCTGAAATCCACCCTGTGAGATTTTTACACGGTCCTCTAGACACTCTGAGAAGCAGGTGAATCAAGTGAAACAACCGCTCGGACCCTAGGAGCCATTGGACACACACACAGAAAAAGTACAATTGAAAAGGATCTAAATTAATTGAACTTAATAAAAGTGAATAGTCCAGTGAAAAGAGAATGTTAAACCCTTATTGCTGACCTTTTCTTAGTGCTCGTTGCAGACTGAAGAATAAACAGAAGAGTTTTATTAGCATGTGACTGCATACTCACCGTTCCGACTTTCTTCATCAATTGGAACTATTGTTGCTGGAGGCCCTGCTCTGGCCAACTTGCAGTCTATAAATATGAAAATACAAGTTACTTCAAAGTCAACATTTGTTTGCAGTGACAGTTACTACCTTGACTGCAATCAACAATAAATATATTCACGAATATCTTTTTTTTTCATACAGTCATGTTTAAAGAGTATGGTGAACAAAACTTTGGTATAAAATCGGCAGTAGGTACTCTCTGTTTCCGAAGTACATAACCAGATTTCATGATGTAACATCTCTGTGACAAAAGAATTTCCCTTAGGAAGGCCTTAGCATAGGCTCTACTAGCTGTTTCCATCAGCAACATGTTTTGAACATCATGCTCTTAATATGTATTGGTTTACTAAGATTTGCTTACTATATTTCATAAGTTTATGCCATATGCACAAATACTAAGTCTTTGCCACATCACAATACAATACAATTCACTTGCTACTCTTTAATCCTATCTTACACTAAACAGAGATCCACAGAGACCACTATGGAAAAGAACTCCTTCAGGACAGAGATAATGTGATGATAATTCAACCCAAAATAACAACATAAAAGAATGATTAAAAGGAATAAATCGTAATTAAAACTTCACAACAGAAACAAACATAATTGAAATTTAATTGCAACACAAATCTCTAATTAGTGAGAGTGAACAGAATTTCAATAAGTTCTAAACAGAGTAAAAATGGGGAAAAAACAACAACAGAGAAGCAATTTTCAGGAAGTCACAGTTTGCCTTCTTACCCTCATACTGCCAATCTGGAAGGAAGTTAAGAGTCATCAATGGAAGCAGAGCAGAATAATGAAAGAAAATAAGTAAGATTTCTGTCTTTCATTCAGAAAGTTTTAAAGACATATAAAGCAGTACAAATGACGAAGTCTGAGATAGGTGAGTATTTAGTCCAGAGAAGCTTTTGTAATTGCCATGAGTAATATTCTGAACAGGCTCTGTCCACAGACTGACTGAATCAAATGTTCATTCACTCGAATTCAGTAAGTGCTTGTGTGCATGCACAAAGTCATCCCACAGGTATATGTTTCCCACTCCACTGAAGTGAGTGAATTTGGTTCAGATTAAGGCTTTGCAGACAAGCACTAGGGTACCTGCAACTCTTTGGAATGGAGAGAACGATCTATGATCTAATATTCATAAAAGTACATGCAAAATTCAGAAAAGAAGGAAAATCTAAATTGCTTCTCTAGCAATGACAGCGTTTACATATTTTATCAGAAATTAGTCCCACTGAGTTTGGGGGGGGGGGTCCATTATAGGACTGCACTCTTGGGGGGGGGGGCCTAAATGGCTGTTTGTCTCATTAGTTGGCCAACTCTGGGGACAGGCTGGTTTGCCCCTTTTCCTTGGTGACCACACAACATAAGTGTGATCGCAAACCAGCCCATCCCTGATGTGTTGCTACCTATATTTCTCTGGCTTCCTGTCAGGGACTATTGTTTTTAGATATGGATGGAATCCTCAGTTGTCATACATTTTCAGCACGTGTGATCATTGGGATCAAACCAAAGTGAACGGCTTAAGCAGACTGATTTCAATTTCCCAATTTTGTTAAGTGGCTCAAATAGACAGTTTAAGCCATTTAATGATATTGGGGAATTTAAGGCTTCCTCTGCTTCTCCATGGATAGAGAGAGAGAAGAAGCAAAGGCTGTGCTTTTTTTAAAGCCTTGTAGGGCAGCGTTGATGCACTATGTCTTTTATGGGGAAAAAATTAAAACTTCCTTCTGGAAGGAGAAAATACAGGTTGGGACAAGGAGGGGGATTCCTTCCTTCCTCTTTAAACGGAGTTTGGATAAATGAGGTTGCTTGAGGTGTGCTATTTCCTGACCCAAAACCACCTGATCCTTACATGTGGATGCAAGGATCACATCAAATGGTATACCACACCTCTATGCAATCGTATATGGCCCTGTTTAGCTTAATCCAGCCTGCTCCAATTTGGTCATTCAGCCAAGTTCTAAGTCACAAGTGTTTCAAGGAAAGAGTGTGTCTACATTTAAAATATCAAGAGAAGGTTACAAACATCACCCAAATTGGTTAATGCTATGTCAATTATTTAAATTTGTCAAAAATTATTTAGTGGACACAACCAGATTATCGACTATGGGCTTGTATGTATAACTGACATTAAATCTGGTTTATTAATAAGATTCTGTTTTCATCCATCTGTCTATTAGCTCCGAGTCAAAACTCTCAAATAACAAGATAGTATAAAGAGAGCAAAGAGAGAACCACAGAGTAATGATTAGGGAATATTGAATTTAAACTAGCTAGGAAATATCCTCAGGCAGAAGGCACCGTGCTAAAATCAATATAAACGAAGAATGGCAGACAGCAGGAATCCTTGTAATTAAAATGCATATGCTAAGTGAAACTGTCTCTCTGCACCACTAAAAGCGTTTTACATTTCTCTCCACAATGCTACTTATACATTGAAACAATTCAGTCCATGTTTTACAATTATATCATTTGCATATCACAGTTTCTATTGTCATACATTGGAGAATTCATGTGCCTGTGTTTCCCAAAGAGCCGTAAGAAAAATTGTTATATCTGTAAATCTGATAGGTAGACCTAGGCTCCATTCAAGATATATTGCACGTTCGAAAAACGTGCCTCTGAATGAAATTTTACAGGTCACTGAACACTGAAATATATGTTTTGCTCATGTTGAACAAACATTAGGAATGAGTGAAATATATAGCTATTTCAAAAGCATAACTGACACATTCCACTAGTAATGCCATCTGTGTGGGGGGAAAAAAATCTCCTTTTGCCTCTTTCTCTTTAAACAGCATTTCTTTTTCTTTATTTCTGTCCTTTATTTTTTCAAATCTGCATCTCATCTCTTTGATAAAGACCAGAGAAGGCCGTGTATGGAGCTATTTTATCTTCTTTCCCTTGAAACAAGTGAGGGCCATGGTGGCTCATGAATGACAGAAACAAATTTTGTAGGGGAGACGCACCTACTCATCTTTCCACAAGTCATCCCTGGGTGTGGGCTAACAACTTTGATTTACTGAGATCACTCACAGAGTTGAATGGCCAAGGAGGGCTTACAATATAACTGGGCTATCCATGTTCAGTGCAAACACTCATAGAGTTCTGTGAATCCTACAATCATGCATTTATTGCAAATATATGCTTCAAGCAACAGAACAGATGGCTGTATACGTGATAATTACCACATGGTCAATATAGAAAGCAAATACACTATGTAATTAGAAGCAGGAACTGGAGAAAGTATTATTTCTGCCCAAACAAGACCAGGAGCAGATTGAGGATTTTTTTTTTATTAAATGAAAACATATTGTAAAGAAACAAAAGGACAACAAACAGAATAACAAACAAATAAGCATATAAAACATAATAATTATACAGTGGACCCTCGACTTACAGACGGCTCGACTTACAGACTTTTCGAGTTACAGACTTCTCTGGCTGCAAAATTTAGGTTCGACTTGCAGCCGGAGAATCGACCTACAGACCAGAAAAAACAAAAACAAAAATGGAACAAAAATGGAACAAAAACGGCTGGTTACGGGATTAATCGGTTTTCAATGTATTGTAGGTCAATGGAGACTCGACCTACAGACTTTTCGACCTGCAGACACCGTTCCAATACGGATTAATTCCGTAAGTAGAGGGTCCACTGTACACAAACAAAACTGAAACAAAGTGCTTCCCCCCACCAGGACCAATGGAGAACTAGACCTTTTCCTTTATTTCAAGGATTCCCCTTCCCCTTCCAAAATTGTAATGTTTCTTGCAATGGTGCTCTTCCCCTCTCCTTTATTAATCAATAAAATCTCCCCAAATTTCTGCAAAAGTATGCCTTTTAAGCACTCCTTAAAAGAATACTCCTTTCATTATTTTAATATTACATATTAACTTGTAATTAATAGATATATTCCATACCTCTGTATATCATTCACTTAATTGAAAATTATGTTTCATTTTCCAATACTTGGGTATAATTAATCTAGCAACTGTGACTAAATTAGAAGTTAATTCTATACATGCACAATTATATCCCATCTTATCAAATATTGATAAAAGTACTATTTTAGGACATATGTCTACATTTCGTTTGGTTATCTCTTTGATTTCTCCAAACACCATTTGCCAAATTTCATCACACTCTCACATTCCCACCACGTATGAAAATATGTGCCAGTTTTCGGTCATCCCCTCCAGCACAATGTAGAGTAATTTTTATTTATTTTATGCAGTTTCACTGGAGTTAGATACCATAGCCAAACAATCTTATAAAAATTATCTTTAATTCTTAGACATGGATTTCACTGTTCTTACATCCCCTATTTTCTTCCATCTCTCAGTGTTTATCCCTTCCCTCATATCATGTTCCCATAATACTCTCAGAGGATCCTGTTGATCTTCTGCTTCAATTAACATTTTGCAACTTTTACCAATTATACCTTTCAATGCTTTATTTTCTGCTAGATTTTCCTTTTGTAATAACATTTCCTCCTTGTAACGTCCCTATATTTACCATTTTTCCTCAACCAGTCTTTTGTCCTGCTCTCTCAATGCATTGAACTGAGGCACAACCATTTCTCCCGTCCCAATATGTTTTTTATTTGCTCTTTACTCCCCATCCTTTCTACCCAGTCCTTCAGTCTGATTGCTTGCTGTCCTCTTAATGCACTCTCCAGATTTTTCAGATGCCTAGGGAAAGTTTCCAGTTCAGTCACTGGACATAATGTTGATATTAGTGGATTAAGTATATTCTTGTACTTATTCCAAATTAATAACATATTTTTCAGGAAAGGATTACCAATTATTTTACCTCTATTTTTATTGTATGGGTCAAAAATAATATTCTCAAAATTTAGATCTAGCTCAATTGACTCCAAACCCCACCATATCACTTTATTAGGATGTGCAATAATATCTTTGATGTGTCTTAACTGGTTGGCAACATAATAATTCTTTAAATTAGGAAGTCCCATCCCTCCTACCTACTGAGCCTTATGAAATCTCTTCTTGTTAATTCTTGCCTTTTTATCTCTATTACAGAACTTACTAATCATAGATTGCCAATTCTATTGGTAGCATCTTAAATAAACACTTTATTAGGATGTGCAATAATATCTTTGATGTGTCTTAACTGGTTGGCAACATAATAATTCTTTAAATTAGGAAGTCCCATCCCTCCTACCTACTGAGCCTTATGAAATCTCTTCTTGTTAATTCTTGCCTTTTTATCTCTATTACAGAACTTACTAATCATAGATTGCCAATTCTATTGGTAGCATCTTAAATAAAAAAATGAATCTTGGGTAAAATCTTCACTTTAATCATGGCTATTCTGCCAAACCATGATAATTTACTTTAATCGTGGCTGTTCTGCCAAACCATGATAATTTGATTTTCCTGTAATCTTTTAACTTATTCTTCATTTCACATTTCAGTCTCCTGAAATATTCTACTCTTAGATAGATTCTTTGGTATATATACTCCTAAATACTTAATTAAGTTCCCAAACTTAATATTGAATTTTCCCCTGAACAGATCTTTTTCTTCCTTATTATAATTAAGTGGCTGTTCTGCCAAACCATGATAATTTGATTTTCCTGTAATCTTTTAACTTATTCTTCATTTCACATTTCAGTCTCCTGAAATATTCTACTCTTAGATAGATTCTTTGGTATATATACTCCTAAATACTTAATTAAGTTCCCAAACTTAATATTGAATTTTCCCCTGAACAGATCTTTTTC